AATGTTATTTCTTTCTGGTCTATCAGACAGATTGAACGAGAGCGCTTTGTCAAAATGTCTGCAACAATACAATGCGCTTTTTGACAATACGCGTACATGGACTAATCTATCTTGTGAAAGCTCGTTAATACGAAAGTCATGTTATCATTTGATAAAAACTTTAACGGTTAAATGGCCAAGTAAGAAAGTTTTTTCTTTTTTGACTCATGCGGTTGATATTCGAACAAGGCTAACTAGCATATTATCCATAGTTATTATTGAAGAACGATTAGAATCATTGAGCACAACATATTTAAGCAAAGTCTTTAGTGATAAAGATACCAGTATTCATAGTGAACTCTGGGAATCTCTATTAATATTTACTAAAGGTATGAGTTATACAAAACCTATTTTCCCAATCTGTACACACTATGGTTGACGTGCAATATAACTTGCTTTGTTACCATATTTGTCATTCTTTATTTACCCAAGCGTTCCCGCAGAGTTGGATGATTGCCAGTAAGAAAAAGCCTATGCTGCCAAAACTTTACGCATTTCTTCGCGCTGGAGGTTATGGCTCCATTAGTGTCACCTATCCAAGCTTACTTGTTTTAGTGGACAGTCTTCCTTCGCAAGTAAATACAAACATGACAATGCTATAATTATATTCCGAGAAGTAGCCTATTAAGTCCTATGTATACTTCATCATAGATCATTGCTGCGAGACCTAAATTTTACGACGAGTTTTTTGGTGACTTTTGGAAGGGTTTGTCCGGCACGGTTATTGATCATACAAATTCTGGGACGTTTATAAGCGCTTATTGTGAGTGTCTTGTATATTTTATTGTAAAACTGAGGTGAGTAGGTTGTCATGATTGGTCTTCTCAGTCAGATAATGATATCGCACTGACAGTCAATATCTGTATAGCAAGACTTATAATGAAGCTGATATTCTGAAAACGTTAATAGAAGAAAAGTTTTTCGGGGTTGTTGAATTGTATCTTGTTGATAGTAAGGTACGCTGTTTACATAACTTAATTACGTATGATATTTAACACTTGTTGACTCTATCATTGTTGTAATAGTCTTCTGGCAAATTCCGGACGAATCAACTTTGTTCCGCTGTCGCTCAGTGACTCAGTCGCGCTATTTGGAGCACGAATTGAATCTAATTATAAGTTTTACGTGTTTTTTACCAGATGCAGCAACAACACTTTTTGGAAAAATAGAATATTTATTTAACGTTAACATCAACAGATCATCTTTGGACGGAAACAAAGAACTTGATTTCAGTGTCTACTTCAGTGAAGTCTGCCAAAGGTTGGCCGATCTGTTGTCTTGCATTAATACAAAAACTATCGAAGTCGGAAATGACAGAACTGATGCTCATTTAATAGTATGTTGTATATTTTATACTTATGATTTTTTATAAGTATCTGTTTGTCTAAGTATATTTGACTATTATAGGTGTACGATTTTGTCGAAAAGATATTTATTTTCGCGTTGTCCAAGTCAACGGAGACTAGTGGTACGTAAAGCGGTTTATTATAAAGATGCTAGATTATTTATAAATCAATGTTAATTCTCGATTATTATTAATGCGTATTAGAGAAACTACTCGGGCTTAGTTTGATTATTTCTAGATTGATTAAAAGCTTTCCTCAAGTGACATTCGAAAGGCAACTGACAAAAGACGTAACTATCAGACTTTTCTGTATCACCGTTCTCATTCACTATGTGGTATATTCATCCTTTTCTGTTTTCAGGCTATCGGTACTTTTATCAGTGATGATTTTCATAGACTTGTGATTAATGCACCGGAACCAGTCTTGGATCATTTATTCGACATTTTTTTGCTGTATTTGGCGCAGTGTGATGATAAGCTGTCATTACAGATATGGAATGCACTTGTAGATGTAATAATACAGTTGAACGACAGGACAAGGAAGTTGAATTGTTTCCTTCTTGCCATTGATAAGGTTCGTTGCGTCATGCTAAAATTATCTATATTTGACGTCAGTTCCGTTAATCAACATTAATATCAATCCGGTCTTTGATTTAAAACCGGCATGTCTCAATTTCCGACTCTAATATGATAATGCTTTTAGACCAACGGGATGAAATTAAGACAGACGCTATATAATGACAAACTAGCTGCATTCGTAATAAAAGTGTCCACCGAATTAGAAGATGGCGAGGATACACTCTTGGCCGAATATGAGCGTGTTATAATTTCTTCTCTAAAGTCTGATGGTAAGTTTACGGTTACGTTACAAACACATGACTATTTGAGAATACTAATACCCCATGCATTTATGCAAAGTGTGCATAATATCGAAGCAAACAAGACAAAGTATCCTGGATCGTGTATCAATGGTACTTGCCAATTCTTCGAAGATACACTATACGTCCGAGGATATTCCATCATCCATGAAATCGACTACTATATCCATTTTGCGCATTTGCAATGCGCTGTTGAACACAGACCAAAACTTTATCAAGTTTTTGTTTGAATTTAACTATGCGTCAATCATTGCATATATATATGAACTTTCCTTCATGAAAGCACATGGTCAATTGGATGAGGGATATGTGAATACGGTGGTTGACTTATCGAAATCCTCTTGGAAACTAGCTTGTCAGGCGTTGGAACAGAAAGAAATGTTAGGTGATATTATTTGTGAGAATGTATTTTTATCATTATTGGATATTCGATATGCATCTAGGTAATATTTAAAGACACTGTTGCAATGTTTTTGCAATTAGAAGGATTATATGATTACTTATCTGCGACACTCTACCACAGCCCCCTAGACTTTACGCACAGACTAACGACCTTGATCGCGGATTTGTTTGACAACGAACACTTCTACAAACAAAGATTTGTTGAAAAGCTTCTCATTAACAACCAGCAATGGCGAGATATTAGTCTCCCCTTCGTTTCACTGCCAGTTGATTCAACTCTGGCTATTCTTTATGATTCAATAGCAGTGACACCGACTACTGCTTCTGACCGCATGCCAATTAAGGCTATTCAATATGATATATACGGACTAAGTCTATATGGAAGGGTTGGACTGTTTATGATAGACATTATCAATAGTATTGGCGTCTCCGAATTCTTTTTTGGGCAAGATCTTAAAGAGACACATACAGCTACCAGTCGTCATTTTGTTGTACTAGAATTACTACTAATGCACATACTTTCAGATGTATATGGTGCTCATATTCAAAGTCCACATGTATGGGACGCAACCAGTGTTGAAAGGGGTAATTTTCATGGATTCAAAACCTTTTTAGAGGAGGTTAATTCAATAGCAACAGAATATGTCAATCGGCAAAATCAACACATGCAGTTTAGTATTAAGAATCTTATCGGACGGTTAATAACAGGCGAACATAATGAACCGGACGCTTCCGTGAACCTAAACACATTGCTTATAGAATCTACTAGTCGGTCGAAAGGAGAGAAAGGTCATTATTGGAACAGAGTATCGGAGAGACTATGTCAAATTATTTTAAAAGAATCAAACGTACAGACTATTGAAGCCGAAGAATTTATAGATGCATTAATGTCAGACGTGTGCAAAGGTAAGAATATAAGACTACAACTCCCTACTGTTTGGTTTATATATCGACTAAACTGAACGTTTCAAACGGACATTACATCTAGTCTCTGCCGATACGAAGATAGCCTTCATACTATCATTGAAATCCATTTTAAACCTATCTTCCAGGTTTAAAACCTTACAATGTGATATAGCAGGAAGATTAAACGAGATGGAAGCGGCGGACATATTTGATAATAACTCGGATGAGAGTAATGGTAACAATAAAAATGAATGCTCACATTTGTCATTTGTTTGCATTAATAAAATTATTCTTTTCTTCATTAGGTCATACACTCTTATCTCTTTTGGTAGCCACAACGAAGAAGTCCGATACATATTTCCTGCGACCAGATGACGCTCTAACTCTAATAAATACTTTTAGAAAATGGTATGAAAATTACGGGACCACGTCCCAATATATCAATGCACAGATCAGTATAGCTAGACTGCTATATTTGATAGTCGACACTGTACAAGAATCACCAGGGTTGCACTGGGAGTTTGTATTTACGCGTATTGAAAACTGGCTACAGGTAAAATTGTTTGCTCGATGATCCATACATTTGGTCATTTTGACTAAAATCTATTCGTCCGTATCAGAATGATGAGGATTTGGTTCTTCGGTATGAAGCCATTAATCTGTTTAACAGGTTAAGTGTATTAAGTGCCGCAGCGAGCAAATTTTCTGCCGATATTGAGGTATTTGTCGTAGACAAGTAAATTTGCGTGATGAAATATATACAATTTTTTATGCGATAATTCTTAATGTATTTCTATTTGTTTAGGATGAATCTGCAGCTCAATCAGAGATTACACTATCAGATGCATTGCATAAGCATCAACCGACGATAAGCAATTGCCTACTCAGTTATTTATTACAAGAACGTGGTATTTATCTGCTAACGTCACGACAATTATATTTTATAATGTGATGATTCGTCTACGCATTTCGATCCTTTGTTCAATAACATTGTACGTTTCTACAGCACATGCGAATACAATTTTCTCCAAGCAATATTCAGCATACCTCAATATTTTGAGTGAGGCATGTTATAATATACCAAGGAGCGTCATTAGAAAGAAATCAACAGAGGTATTATCAGTTTTGATAATAGTAACACGTTAAGACGAATATTAGTAATATGCCAGCAGTTAACTCGATTGCTAATTATACTAGTTATATGAGTTACTTGATATCTCACATGAAGTCGTGCAGAAATGTACTTATATGTTACTCCGAGACATAATCATTGAGGCTGTAGCAAGAAGGTCTGAGCAAATGGAAATCAATGAAATCGCCGGAGGTAAGCGAACGTCAATGTGCTCACATAAGAGTTTGCTCGTGATTAGTTGAGAATTCTTTCATTTAATAAATAATTTAATATCGTTTGCAGTCAATTCGAGGGTTCCAGTGGAAGCAAAGATCGACGAGGCATTGGTATCATTAATCAAGCAAGGGCATGAAAGTGATTTGATAAAAGTACTTAGCGGTAATCGCGAAATACTGGTAAATATTTCCGGGGGGGGTTCTACATGTGATAATAATACGTATATAATGCGAACGAAATATTAATCACTAGTTTCTTGTTTTAGTCGGTTCATCGCACATTTAGTTATTTGCTATCCGCACTGCTGCTCTTTGATCACTTCAGGAATGCCGTAAATATCTTATCATCCTTATAGTGTTGTTATGCCGTCTAATAGAATCGATCGATCTAATTATATATCATTTACCCAATAGACATACAAATATAAATCGCAGTTTATCACATTGTTGAAAGAATTAGATATATTATCAGGATTCCTACCATTTATATTCCAAGCACTAGGTCTTGTCTCTCCGTCAACACCTTACGATCTTTCCAAATGGGATGTTACCGAATTCTACGTCGAAGGTATCTGGTATTTGCATACAGTAACGCTATTCAACAGAAACATCTCTAATTGCAATACGTGTATATAAACTATACAGCCTTTGAAATCGACCTTTTCGAAGATCTTGGTTTCCCACTCCTCTCCGCTCATATCTACCACCTCTCTCTTGTTCACGTTCCATCACTCGTTCGCAATTGGTGGACCTATTGTAAAAAACGGCAACTCACGATCGCTGTCGATTCGTACACTGAAAAATACTTCAGTCCCATTATTATTAAACAACAGCTAGACAATCTCCAACGCGAAGACGTCAAATCTCAGCTACAAGATGATAAATTTTCAATAAGAATTTCCCGTGGGACCAATGAAGTCATTGCCGTGGTAAACGTTGATGAAAGCGTGACAGAACTGAGCTTACGCATGCCGGGAAGTTTTCCGTTGAAATTAGTTGAAGTGGGACGAGCTGAGAGGATGGGGATGGCAACGGTTAAGGACTTGGTCTGGGGTAGATTGCCAGTCGAGACTTTGGTTAATTCTCAGGTAATATAAAATATGGGAAGGATATGTCCAATCAGCTGTTTTCCACAAATTATTTTTACTAATTAAGCTCGGCATTCGCAGGATGGTAACTTGGAAGCCGCGTTGAGCATATTCAAACGCAATATCGAAAGTCATCTCGAAGGTATAGATGATTGTGTTGTTTGTTACAGTGTGGTATCGTATGTGGACAGAAGTCTTCCGAATAAGACTTGCTCTACTTGCAAGAATAAATTCCACGCGGCTTGTCTCTACAAGGTAAATATAGTTTACGTTTTCTCCAGGCTACTTACCTGCCTACACAAACTGACATGGTGTTTCCTTTTTAGTGGTTCCGGACGTCAAATTCAACAAGTTGTCCTCTATGTCGAAGACTGTTTTAAACGAAAAATGCTTTCAATTATTCGCATTATCATTGTTGGGATTAGAGAGATTATATGCTGGATTGAAGTATTCCTCGAACTAATTTACTGGCAGCAGGACTTTTGGAATTTAAGCTCAAATGTGATTGTCAGTCCATTTTTATATAATAAAAACTGATAGTCATTGCTAGTCACTGAATCGACGTAAACGAGTGGCGTTAATATTAACAGTACTAAAATCGTTCAGTAAGTAAAATAATTTGTATTGCACAAAAAACTAACGAGGCGCATGGGACTTGAACCCACAATCCCCAGATCCGAAGTCTGATGCCTTATCCATTAGGCCAACGCCCCCAAACCGTAATATAGTCTATATAGATTATTTTATATTATATTCTTCTGACGGACAGGTATGACTATGACTGTTATTGTCGTAGTAACTATTATTAACTATCGCCGTAACAAGGCGCCTGCGACATGCGTGTTCGTCAAATAACTCACTTTTGACACATTAATATGAGAAAAAGTTAAATGAAACGAATCGCCGTCGTTGCACTGTTTGTATATTTCTTACAACAGAAAGGTCTCAGCTCTGGACTTTCATGTCCCTCAAACAATTCGGGACAATGTCCATATATGATTACGGAAATTGCGACGAAACCGGGAGTAGTATCAGACGGCCATCTATATCCAAAAAGTAGGGATGTTTGTTATATGACAGAACATCTAACCAGTTTTTTATTTAATCGGCGTGTAACGTCATGACTAATATCGATCGCCAATTATGCTATTATTATCGATAATACAGAAATATAGTCTATTTAAACTCCTCCCCACCCGTTAATAATACAACAAAACTTTCTTATATCTCGAATATTTAAATAGGAAGCTTGTTATATAAACGTCTCTGCCACCAAATATCCTAACCAAACACTTATCATCGTCCACACGAATGTCTTGCCTTCCGGAACCACGCATCCTCCGCCATTTGAAGATCCAGGCTGATTAGTGGCTTTCGTTACGGTAGGGCTACCAAGAGTAACAGTCATCACACTCGCCGGCACCGTAGAACTGTAAATCGAAGTTTGTCCATTTGTGACAGTGGTAAACACTGTTGTTAACGGAGGTACAAGAGTCGATACAACAATTGTCATCCCCGAACTTATAAGCGTTTTCGTATCCGAGACCGTTTTGCTCGGAACATCTAATCGCACATCTGCAATCGCAGTGCTCATCATTCCGGTTGCTACCGTTCGATATAGCTCAACGAATTCAACGTTGTATGAATTACCGAACGATTCAGGCGGCAGTTGGTAACTGACTGTATTTGTCGTGTTGGTATTGCCCAGGCTATAGAGTGGAGCTGTGCTTGCGATCGTATAAGGAGCGGAGGTTCCAGAAAGTGGCTTGAGGAATATTGTGAGGTTTGTGATTTCATATGTATAGCCAAGCTCTCTGTATACAGAGTATTGAATTTGTAAAGTTCCTTCTCCAATTATTACTGGTGCCGACAAGTTGATGTCTACCAAGTCAGAGAAAGATGGGGTAAAGGTGAGAAGGAAGAGGAACAGGAATGTGAAGGACCAGTGTATAGACTTCATGGAATATTACTGGGGGAAACGGAAAGATGCAAGTACAAGAGTAGTCTAGTGTGAGAATACGTCGTATAGTGAGTGTGTTATTATCTTATATCCACTAGTTATGATACATGCACAGCTTAAGTAATTGCTGTCAAGAACTCATTGTAAAAGAATTAATGCTCGTATTTTTATTGAAGAGTACTAAATAGTAACTAATATTCAGTTCAACTGTAGCACTTGCCGATCATTCTTTTATACGTAGACACAAGGTTGATTGGCAATCAGTACAAACGTTACTGGCTTCAATATTATTAATAATTCAAAATTTTGGTGCGTGTGAAGTAAATTTTTCGCTTGGCTGTATCGCTGTTCGATCGAGTTTTTTGATTCATTGACCCAATAACCCCTATAATCAGATTAAGACCGACCAACCCATAATTCCACGTATAAATAGTAAGTACCAAAAGAAGATGAATCCAAACAAAGTAAATCGCGTAAGATTTGACGTAAAAATAGTAAAGCGTCCACTTATGGGAAATCCAAACGAAACGAAGTCCCGCCAAGGTGATGCATATTTTGCATAATAAAAATTCCTACTTATCAGATAGTACGCGCAGGAGGTTGTCCACATTCTCGCGATGATCGTCAAGTCATTACGCGATTGTAATGAATCACGTGATTATTATGAAAGCCAGCATTCTGAAAGAAGAGTTTACAACAGCATATTCGAGTAAGTTTATTCTCCGCATATTTGCTCGCACACAGAAAGAAAGACAATCTAACATATTTCGATCGATCAAAGAAATTATGCGACTTAAAACAGAAAAAGGCCTTGCATTGCAAGATGTGATATTCGAAGTATACAAAGACGTTGTAAAATACAAATTAAGTAAAAAAGCAAGGGTGTATCTATTGGAAAAACTCGCAGAGATAGAGTGAGTGAAAATCTAGTCTCGAGCGATAAAATGTTTGATTTTGGCTGGTATCATAGGAAGGCTCAACATGATTTTTTCTGTTCCAATTACAGATATCGACTTACCACAGGTGCATCAGAGAAAATCCAAGTCACTGCAATGCTTGGCGCTTTCAAAACAATGTTGGATTTGACCGGTGGCAACGTGGACGAAGTGATGGCAGATACAGATACTGGTATAGATAATATGATTGAATGATATTCCACATGTCTTATATTAATAAATTCATACTATATTATATTACGCTTGAATGTTGCGAGAAATTGTCTATCCATCACATGTAACGAAAGTACAGAAAGCAAAATCTTTCGAATAATCCATATAAGGCGGTTGCTGCTTTGGAAATATTCCCCTATCGTTACACGCCGACTCCATGTTTTGGATGCAGAGATACTATAAGGAACCGCAGGCACTATTATCTCGATGCCTAGTCACAGTAATGGAATCTCCATTCACAAGTATGGCAGAGTTACCCACCAGTCCGAGCAGGTGAAGCAAACTGTATGCTAGGGGACTTATATTGATTAGAAATGTGAAACGGGACAATTCTATGACATGCTTGATCAACCTTTTCAACATTACAAACCAAGTAATGCGATTTTGTCCCTAAGGATATGTTGAATGTCCTAAAGGGAGGCGCAGTCTTAGATAACCAATCATTATGTTACAACACATTCTACAATTCTGCTGTGCTGTTATTTTGCTTATTATCAACAGTGTTCCTGCGGATACATCATGGCGCATGACATTATTAACTTCACAATATAGTATAAAAATTGCCCTAGGCTTTTCAGTAACCAGGTAGTGGAAAGTCATAAAAAAACTAGAAGGAAAGCGCAAGGTAATCTCAGACTTGTCAAAAAACGAGGATAGCTGATCTGCGCATAATCGACTGTAGGGAGACCATGTTTTTAATGATAACCATAATTAATTCCTAAGATTTAGACAGTAAGTAAAAATAGCACAAAAGTAACAAGAACACAACAATAATTTTTTATCGCTATTACTATTATCCGGTTAATCACATGTAGATATGGTGCTTAACGATTATGATTGGAAACAACTTTATTTCCTTCCGAAGTAGAACGTCCCTCAAGAACAGCGCACTCGGGCTGTTTTCTTTTTCGAAGATCCACACAATTTTAATTATAATGTTCCTAGCCAATCAAAAATTGCCAACTCAGTCATGCTGCACATGAAACCAATGATAATACGCCAACACTACAATCATTGAATTTTTGACACGTTGTAAAGTGGGCAGGAATATTATATAAGGCCAAAGTTTTTCGTTGCCCAGCCAAACTGACTTTTTCTCGACAAACACGCAACTTCCCACTTTGCTAGACATTCGATACAATACGCGCTAAAGACAATTCCATACTCGAGTGGGGAATAATCTGAAAAAAAAAAAAAAACTCAAACTCCAACTACAACATATTACTTTTAAAGGAAAACAACAATAGAACCTAGTTATGCAATTAAAGTTCATCATGCTTCTCCAATGGTTCTTGCGGTGACCCGCTCTCCTGATACAATTTACTGGTGATGGGGTTCACAACAGCTTGTAACTCCTCTTTCTTCTCATCAAAGTCTTCTTTTGTCGCTGAATTAGAATGCTCCTCAAACCAGTCTAGTGTCTTTTTAATAGCATCTCTGATTGTCTGCTTATCTTCATCATTCAACTTCTTGCCAAGATCACCGTCATCAGCAGCAGAAGTTTTTAACGTGTACGCAAAGTTTTCCAAGGCATTACGAGCCTCAATACGTTCTTTCTGTATTCTATCTTCCTCAGCAAACTGTTCGGCTTCCTCGACCATACGT